TATATTCTAGAGCAGTTAACATGACCTTTGATTCAGCTGTGAAAATGGATGAGTTATATGGTAATCTAGCTGATACCGAATGATCCCTTTGCTGAATTTGAGTGATTTATGTGCATAACTTTTGATCCTGATATCTGTCAGTTTAGTGGATTCAAGAAAGATAGCAGCCTGCTTACGAGTTTTGCATTCCACAAGAAGAGCGCCAAACTTCAGTTCACATCAGAGACTTCCGCAACTTTACCAGTGGAAAGGTTGAGTAAAATGTTAATTTGCTTACTTCAGTGGCCTCAAGCACAATGAACTTGGGCCAAGTGTCTCACTCTACAAATTAAAACTAGGACACCTTCTCCTTCGGAACTTACTGTACCTAACTCGTTTGGTCCTTTGGACTTGGAGGTTACTCCATCAGCACAGGACAGATGAAGGGGCATTTCTTCTTCACGTTCCCGCGGAAGGTCTCAAATTGAGCCACCATAACTCAATATTGCAATCTCTGATACAGTGCTATATCATCAAAAAAGGGGGGAGGAGTTTTATGGATTATTTGTTGACTTCTCTAAAACATTTGATCCTATACACAGGTCTAAACTATGGAGATTATTTACTGCACGTGGACTTAGTTCCAAAATGTTGAAGCTACAATGTGGTATATATGAAAATTTTAAAACGTGTTTACGAGACAAGGGTTTAATGTCTGATATGTTTGAATGCAAATTTGGCGTCCGTCAAGGATGTAAATTGAGTCCGTTTTTATTTTCCTTTTTCATAAATGAATTAGTATCGGAAATCCATAACAATTGTACAAACGGCACTCAATTACATCCAGATATCGTTCAACCCTTTCTTTTATTATTTGCAGATGATATTAGCATGTTCTCAAGCACATCATGTGGCTTGCAAAAGCAAATTGATTTCTTAGAACATAACTGTGACCAATGGAAACTCACTGTAAAATTGAGTCAAAACTAAAATTATTGTATTCAAAAATGTTTGGAAACCTGCCAAAAATGAACATTGGTCCTCTAAAGGCGAATGTTTGAATGAAACTATACACTTTAAATATTTAAATTGGTCTATTCATATAAGAGAAGCATCAGTTCAGGCCAGTTCAGGTGATATAAGTCATTCTTTAAGATATTTGATGTTAAAATTAACCCAGTTTTACTTTACGGTGCTGAAATATGGGGATTAAAAAGATTTAAAGATATCGAAAAGGTTCACTTATTTGCATGTAAAAAGACTCTTGGTGTAAAACCCAACATATCAAGCGCAATGGTTTATGAAGAATGTGAAAGATTTCCTCTAGTTATATACTGAACCGCAAAAGAAACGTCATCATGGATAGATATATGAGAAACCTTATTTGTCCAAACACTGTAAACATACTTTGAGACATATTAAAAAGATGAAACTTGGCAAAACTGATCATCAAGGAAATTAAAGAGTCGAATGTTCTTAAAGTGAAACACAACACTAGTCTCTGAGAAAAGGGCATTACAAGACAGTATTTCGTGTGTCCGTCATGTGCATTGATGACTGCCGTGCAACGTCGATACATGGAATGGATGAGGCGGTTGATGAAGGCCATAGGCACTTGAGCCCACACTCTGAGGAACGCCTGACGCGGTTCAGCTGCAGTTGTCGGCCTTGGTCGGACGTCATTCAGCCGTCTTTGACTCTCAGGTGCACAATGGGATTTAAATCGGGACTGAGGGCAGGTCACTGCATGGTTCTGATGCCATTCTGCTGGAGGAAGTCTCTTGTTGGTCTCGCAGTGTGGGCACGGGCGTTATCATGCTGAAACTCGTGGTTGCATCGACGTGCCAAATGAGATATTTCGTGTGGTCTCAAGACTTGATCAATGTACCGAGCTACTGTGACACCATTGCCTCTCCCTGGACCGATGTTCTGGAAGACCACAGGGCCGACCCTTTGTGCAAGGCCAATTCCACCCAAAACAATGATGCTCGGACCAGGCCACGAGTCTCTCTCAACAACACAAGTATCTGAATAACGTTTCCCATGGCGTCGCTGAAGAGAGCTGGTGGCGCCAATGACGGTGCTGTGTTGCCCACTGAAAACGGTCCCGGCAATGACGTGGTGCCAGAATGGGTCCTTGGTGTGCCCTGTGACAGTGGAGGTGTGTGCTCGTCAATGTCCGCACAGTGTCCGCACTAATGTGTCGCTGGTCTGTCCCCATGATCTGTCGAGCAGTTTCCGCAGCAGTAATAAAGCGACCCTGAAGATGCTGTCGCACAATTTGACGATCCTCACGTCGAGTGGTGACCCTTGGTCTTCCACTACGTGGTCGGTCATCTGTAGTGTTGGTGGTCTGGTACCGTTGCTGGGGCCTGTATGTGGTCCTTACGTGGACTTGAAATGCATTGGCTACTTGCCGGGCGGTTTGTCCAGCTTGCAATCGTTCAAGGGCTTGGTGTCGCTGATTTCTTGTCAATCTTGGCGTTATGTTATCCGATCTGGGTGGATTTTTTATAGGGCAAGGAGTGGGGGAACGCATGTGCATTTCAATTTGCACGGAACTCACGTGCATCGGGTTACCATGGCCGTTGCCGTGATGCGTTTGGGCGATCGGTTTGATTGTCATCTGCTCTGGGGTTTTTATCATCAAATTTCATTTTTCCGGACAAGGTAATGTTAATTGTCAGAAACTTTGACAAAAATTACCCCGATATTTAAATGACAACTTTTCATGCAATGTTACTTGAGGTGACGTTTTTATTGCGGTTAAGTATATATTCACAGCTGAAAGTCATAAAGTACTGGCTGAAACTCCTTAAAATGAATTCATCGAGATACCCTTAGAAATGTTATAATATGATGATGTTATGTGATAATTGGTTAACTGATGTGACAAAAGTGTTATACAATAGTGGTTTTGGAAATGTTTGGTACGATGAATTTGTAAAATCTGAAACTGTATTTTCCAATTCTTTTCTACAGAGGCTTAAAGATATTTAACTGCAATCGTGGTCATTTTCGTTGACATAATCCAATACATTTTATATTATAGAAAGTTGAAAACTCATACATACACTGAACAGTATCTGTTTCATATAAGTATATAGAAATACCGAAATTCATTGGCAAGATTTCGATATTCATCCAATGTTTTATGCATCGAGATGGGAGATACACAAAAACTCGAAAGTCAGAACGATTATGTAAAATGTGTTATAGCCAAGATATAGAGGATGAATATCACTTTTTGCTTGTATGTCCATTGTACTTGAGAAAAATATATTCCTGTTTACTACTTTAATTATCCAAATATTTTGAAATACCGATAACAGTCTAGATAAATTAATAATACAAAACTTAGCCATATATATATTCCACGCATGATTATATTGCACTAAATTTGTAAATTATGGTTAAAATTGTATGCAACATCTGTCACATGTATTATAGACCTGGGGCCTCTTAAGTGCTTGAATAAAAATTTATTAATTGGCTAAATATGGACGGCGGAGGATTTTCCTCCTTCATGGCATAATGGCATTGTAGTCCCCATACCAAAATCTGGCCGGGATCATACAGATCGCGCAAATTACCGACCCAAATCTTTAACCCAAAACTATGGAACCAATGATAAACAATAGATGAGTTTGGTATTTCGATACCAATAATCTAAATACAAATGTGCAATGTGGTTTCCGCAAAAATCGAAGTACTTTAGACCATTTAGAACGACTAGAATCCTTTGTCAAAATTGCAATTGTAAACAAACAAGACAGTATTTTTTCTGTCACTTTATTTAGTATAAACATAAATGTCTTTCAAAGGTTTTAAGTGATGCAGTAGATGGATCACTTTTCGTGGATGATTTTAAGATATCTCGTCGTGGTGAAATATGCACACAATAGCGAAGCAGTTACAAATCTGTCTCAATAACATTCATAAATGGTCCCTTGAAAATGGGTTTAAATTTTCTATATAAAAACCTTATTGTATACTTTTCTGCAAAATAATATAAGCTGCATAAGAACCCTGAACTATATTTGAATGAACCATCCAATAATCAATGTCTTTCAAAGTATGTTATTCCTACCTTAGTTCTATTAACAGCATAATTGTTATTTTAATTGATGGCTAAGATTGCAAATAATCGCCAGCAGCCGAAGGGATAGTGTGAATCCTGCTGGGGAACCCTGCAGGTAGCAGAAGTATCGTAAGTCCCCACTATCCCTAGCCTGGTGGCCTAACTTTGGTTGCTGGCAATCTGTAGCCCTTATTTATTTTGTGTTGTTTAATGATAGTTTATTCTTTTACATGTTCTCAAACTAGTTTTACCTTAAACCTGTGATAGTCTAGTTATTGTACTATCCTTCGGAGACAGAGATATAAATATATTTGTTGTCAATGTTTAACTTTATCTCGTCACGAAATATAACGTCAAATCTTCACTCACTCACTCAGTGTAAATAATCGAATCTAGACAATCCCGTAACATCATGAGCATCGATCCACACTATTGGCATACGAAGACATGCCTCAACAAAGTCAATGAGCCTCACCATCCGATCCTTTAGTCGCCTCTAACGACAATCACTGCCACAGCTATCACATTTCTAATACAGTTAAACTGTTCATTGTACACATGTACACACATTTGATATTGATGTTATAAAGCCAAACATGTGTAAATGTAATTGATGTCAATGTCTTGATATTCCATTTAGGTGAGGATATCATAATTGGATGACTTTTGTCGAATCCTATTGTGTTTTGTCAATAATTTTAAGCAGTATCGAAAAGAAAAGAATGAAAGGGTGTCACAGCTGGGGCAAGATTCGCTCACCTTTTCGCGACCAACTGGTATCATTACTATTTGCAGTAGATAGTCTATAATACGGTCGGAATTGTACAAGGTGATTATGGAAAAAGTTTTGTTGCTTTTACTGTGATAGAAATAGGAAGTGTCGGAAAACTCAGGAAGTCGATAGATTAATAGACTCAAAATATTGTAAGACGTCGCTTACCTTTTCTGGCGTTGATAGTGATATGAATCTGATGTGCTGATGTGACAAAGTAAGAATCATCAACAGTTCTCAACAATTAGCGGACTGACTGCCCAGAAGCATACGTGTGTATCAAGAATGTTGCGTACATCCAATAGAACGCCTATCACCTGACTTTCATGAAAGTACGCAGACGAATCCACATTAATGTCACACAAGCTGTCACATAGTGTTTTTCAGATATACTTAAGCTTGGATGTGCATTTCTGATACTTTCATTAATAATCTGTTGCTGGGATAACACAGTTGTATTGAAACTATCGAACTTTCAGCTTAATTTCAACTATTCAAAGTTGACTGATATTTATTTGTTTGACAATGGCTCAACAGAAGACACGAAGTCCAAGCTGCATCACACTGAAAAAGTAAATTGAAATGCACTTTTCTATCCGTATTATGTTCCTTTAGTAAATGTAAACAATGGATGTTGAAATCATATTGGACATATACAATACTTCTGTTTGTCCACTGTTTGTGTAGCAATCTTTAACCAGCCACCATTTCATTATAACTTTACTCGTCTTCATACAACTGTATAAGTGGGTAATACCGCATGAGTGAGTGAGTGAGTTGGGTTTAACACCGCTTTTAACATTAGTCCAGTTATATCACGGCGTGTAAGCGTAACGTGGGAGGAAAGCCCGAAGTGATGCAGGTCTCAGACGTTTACCACTTCGGTGAAACCCACGAGCACGGGTATGGTGCTGACTAACCTAGAAACATAATCGGGCCACGTATTCGAACCCACAATCATAGGTTTCTGCACAGCGAATCGCGGCACCTTAGACGTGCCACCCGTGCCCCCAATTCCGCATCAACTGAAACAATATTACACTAACTGTAACAATACCCTGTGTTACAATGCCATGCACAGCACATAAAATAAAAGCGACAAAAACCTTTCCATTACAGAAAATATGATTCCGACCATATCATGAGCATGTGCTTATGAACCACTATTGAATAGTGATGATAATGTACCAAGTGTTCGCGAAAAGGTGAGGGTACCCACCAATAGCACCTGTCACAAACACATGCAAAGGCAAGTGAAATGTTCACCTGAAAAACACGAGAACATATGGTACTAGTCAAAATAGAGAATTGCATAGGACATCATTCTTGTCACTGATGCGTTACAGAATGACCTCCACATGTCGACCATAAAACGTTTGGAAAACTTTACTGAGACCTTGAATGTTGTAAGTTTGATCAAACAGCTTCTGAGCAAGGGTCGTATGACGGGTTTTTTCAATCTTCGTAGAAACACCGAGGGTCGGCGTAAGAGAAAAAAATCTTTTACTGAGAAAACGCTAATAAATGCTTGGCGACGTCCTGGATCCAATGTGATGGAATGAAAACATATGGACTGCTGAGAAATTTCCCTTCATTTTGCATTATAATTAGAAGACACCAATTCATCACTCATGAACATTCTGTATTTGTGCCTAGCATAACCACAATTAACACGAAGGTGTCATATCTACACAATATACACAAGTTTGGGGGTGTTTTGATGAATGTTGAAGGTACTGACGTGTATCGAACACGGAGGAGTCCACTAATGCCTACAGTGACAAATGCCTAAAGTCTAAAACAAACATTTATATGCTTCAGTTGTTTTACATGTGATACCCTACTACCTCTCCGCAGAGTTGAACTGGCCCATTTTAGTGTACTATTGCTTACAGTGACAAATGACAAACACTAGCAATTGATATTTAGTGGTTTTTCTTTATTCATACATTTCATCTGATATTTCATACATCATACATCATCCATAGTTTCATTTATCATATTTCATGTACATTATGATTCAAACATCACATTCACACTCCCATTTTATCACACGTCTTACATTATCCATATATACATTTCATTCAGTTTCATTTATTATATTTTATGTACATTATATAAATATCAGACTTACATTCATCATATATCATCTCAAACATCCTCCATATGTATCATTCATTTTCATTTATCATATTTCATGTGTCACGGAGTTGCACAAACTAGTTGCTTTGTTAGCCCAGTTTTACAACACATCCAGCTACATCAAGGAACTGGGGGAGACTTGATACCCAGTCGAAGCTGCTCCTGTAGCCTTTCTAGTCTCTGGTTGATCTCTAGGTAGATTCTCATGCGGGGTGGTGGACGGGCGCCATGGAGATACTGAGCAAGCTTGTTTCTTTCCGTCTTCTCTAGTCTCTGGATCACTTTGATGAAGGCAAAATGTTCGGATGGGCTCTCTGGACGACCTTGTTAAGATGACAATGCCAATAAAATCGGCTGGCCCAAAAATCTGTAAACAAGGAGTGGGTAAAGATAGAAGGAAAAATAGTAAAGGGGGTTGAATGGGATAAGAGCGCTTAGTGGAAGTTAGGAACTGTATAGAAACCTAAGCTAAATGAGAGAAAATAGGGAATAGGATTAATAATAAATATAACATTAGTTAGGCTGATGTATTAAATATAATATTATATTAATTTAAAGAAGAAAAAACAGGGGGGTGAATCGGAAATCTACTCTAATAAACGTTGGGCTTATGCGGCGGGGGTAGGTGAGGTGCGTGGCAGGGGTGAATGGACGTCGTCTGCTAGGGAGCTGGGCTTTGGTGAGTGATTGGTTAAACGAACATGATATTTAGTAGGCTGAATATGGGTGACTTTTTCGCGCGGACGTCGAAGAAGGCAATCTGCGCTAGGAATTTGGGTCCCGATCCGAAAGTGGAAAAATGTGTTTTTTGTGGGTAGAAGTTATAGCTGATGTTTTGTTGGGACTGGTCTAAAGTTTGTTTATAAGATTGGTTGTTTAAAGGAATTTAGCTAGGTGAGAGTATTTGGAGAGGTCGTTTGGGAGTTTTAGTAATAAGGTAATGTTGTTTTTGAACTGGGAGGGTGGGGGGGAGAGGGTCGTATAGTTCTGTTTGTTGTCGTTTGCATTGTGAGCAGTGATTGAATATGTGTTCTAGGTTTTCTGGGAGATGGCATTGGGTACAATTGGGGTGTGGGTGTCCGGTTTTTTTTATATAGTGCTTCGTTTAAATTAAGTTGGCCGCTTAACATTCTGTTTATAATTTTATCCGCGAGAATAGACTTTGTGAAGTTTCGGCATTTGGTAACAGGTTTACTGAAAAGAGATTTTTTCCATGTGGATTTACAATTTTGAATATTAATTTGGAAATTTTGATTTAAGATGTTTTTTTCTAATGAGTGTTTTGGTTTCGGCTTTGCTGGTGGTGAAGTTTATGCATGGAGATGGTTGTGTAGTGGCTATTTTGGCAACTGTGTCTGCAAGCTGGTTTCCCTGTATGCCAGTGTGTGCAGGTGCCCATAGTAGTGTTATTGTTTTGTTTGTTGCTGTGATGTTAGTGTGTATATCTATAATATTGTTAATGATGTCCTGGCGCGATTTGCATTTTTTGCTATGAATTTGGGATATTGAGCCTAGAGAGTCAGAGATAATTAAGAAGTCGGTGTCATTGGATAGTTTTATACAGTGATAAGCACATTGGATGGCTAATAGTTCAGCTGTAGTGGTATGTGTGAAGTTTGAATAGTGGAAATCAGTGGTGATTGGTGTAGGTTGTGTGATCTGGATGCCTATTCCTGTTATATTATTATTTGTTTGGGAGGCATCGGTATAGATGTGTGTGTGTGTGATTTGGCCAGTTTTGTTGAATATAGTTGTTGGTTATTGATGTTTTGTCTAAGTTTTTGATACCGAGTTGTAGTGTGAATATTTTGTGTAAAGTAAGGTCTGTTTTGGGTGGGGGTTTAGCATTAATGTATATGTGTGATGGGGAAGGGGGGGGGGGGGGGTCGGTGTCTGGTGTTCTGAAGTTTGTGGGTTTTGATGAGTTTGTGTAAATGTGTTAAATAAGGGACTAGATTGTGGTTGTTTTTAAAAAAAAATTCAGTGAAGCAGGTCTAAGGTTTTTGTATTTGGCTGTAATTTGTTTGAATAAGGGGTTGTGTTGGGCCCCAGCCCAGTAATTTAAGATGGTTTGGTTGCGTCTTAGCTGTATTGAGGTAGTGCCGGATATGAGTTGAAGTGTGTTTAATGAGGTACCGGATCTAGTCCCCAACAGTTACAAACACACAATATTGAGATAATTGGGGGATAGAAAACATGCAATTTGAGGAGGAAGGGATAAAGTGAGAGATACTTAACAGTACTTTAAAGAATATGACGAGTCGTGGTGAGCAGTCGAGAGTGGTGGCTAGGCGGTGGTGGTTCCCTTGCCAGGAGGCCAGGTAGCCGTGAGGCGATCGCGGGCGTTCGCTGGTGAGGTTGTGCGGTGCTTCAGTGTTCGAAATCCGAAGTCAGTGATTCTTCGTAATCCAAGGATAGGTTTGGTTAGATTATGTGGGTTGTAACAAGACAAGATGGCGTCCGAACATGCCGGAAGTAAACAAACGATGACGACTGAGGAACATGCCAATCTTCGATAACTATATTTTATACTGGAAAATTTCCTTCTCAAAGTTTATCATCAATTACTTTAAAACATTATTCTTCTACTCTCATTTTTCAGAAAATCCATATTCCCTGTTCCGGTTATCAAAGTGCAATACCATCTAAGAAAATAAATTTATACAAAGGTCAAATATTTTCACAATCCCAGTAATATTTCTATGGCATTAATTAGTCTGTGTTTACAGTGTAGGTATTAGTGAACACTAAGTAGAGTAGACCACTTGAGTGCAGGGGTGCGTGAAACAGTGTGTACACTAAAACAACAACTTTGGTAGGCATTTGTCACTGTAGGCATTAGTAGACCTAACCTCGAACACCCACCCACACTGACCAGCTGTACCTTCACCACTCATCAAATCATCCCCCACAAGTCAAGCGAGGTATAATCGGCCACCCTAGCCTGACGAGTAAAAGAACATCTGCTTCACGCCAGAACACATTGAAGCTGAACTACAAAACCTACGACATGTCTTCAAAAATCACAACAACGACATTCCCAGACTAGTAGACCAGAACGACAACGACACTCCCACCCTAGGCCAACAAACAGCTCCATTCGTCATGTAGGTT